AATTTTTTTTTTGATAGCACGACTTCTCAGAAAACCTGAACTGGCTAAGAAACTAATAACGTTTATGACAGTGAAAGTAACATCGGAACACCAACCAAAAACGATACGCATGAGACCTTAACGAAGTTGAAAAACAATAAAAGCGGCGGCGTGGACATACACGGTGTGTTCAACCGAACTTTATATTTAAATCATACAACATATAGCGCCATCTATTGAATGAATACAACATTAAATATATACATTCATCCTCTTTCAAATGCACCTAACATCATGTAAGTCGGATGACAGATGTAACAGTGAGAGCCATTTCAATAAAACCAAAAGTGTGCTAAAGGTTCAAAAATAAAATGGAACATTTATCGCCATGTGACTATTTTTTATTTCCAAAACTGAAAACCAAGATGAAGGGAGCATTTTATGATGATATCCCAGCCATTCAAGCAGCCGTAACCGAGGTACTGAAGAACATTTCTATAAACGACTTAAAAAAAACTATGCATGCGCTGGTTGATCGTTCAAAATGTTGTGTTGAGTCAAATGGAACCTATTTTGAATAAATAATAACTTTCAAAGATAATATAATGTGTATTTTATTTTATATCCAAAGAGTTCGGTTATTTTTGGGACACATCGTGTATTAACCGCAAAGCTCCTAAAATATGGCGAGAAACCAGCTATTGGTTCTGGCGAAACTAATGCATACGAGATGAATGACTGTCGGGTGCGATATCACCAACACACAAAGAGTAACTTGTGGAAATTACAGAGAAATATCTCTTTTCAATGTCGGTTACAAAGTTTTTACAAATTTACTTTAGCAACGGATAAAAAAGATCGCTTAGAATAAAATAGGTGAATAGCCAAAATTAAACCTATACTTATGAGTGGCATTCCCGAAAAATTTCCTAGCCTGATGAATATGCCATTGCAAATGACCTGTCTGGCCCATTTTAAGTAAACTCAGGAGTTAAGCAAGGAGAAGCCGTGTCATCCCTGGCCTTTAGTATTCCGATTTAGCAGAAACGTTCTAACGTAAGACGAAAGAACAGCCCTAGAAATTGAACAACAACAACAGCCACGAAAAACCCAAGTGTATGCTGCGTCCCTAATAAAGAAACATGCTTTGATGCTGTAGAAGAATTTGGGTGATGATGACAGAGCAATTAGCATACAAGACAGATAAACAGGAAATCGGTCATACTTTGCGCACATAAAACTATTTAAGTCTAAATTCTTGTCGAGAAACCAAAAGATACTTTCGATGCTGTTATAGGGTTGTAGTGTTTTGACGATGAAGGCGACAAAGAGCACCGAGAAAAAACTTCACGAAACAACAATAACTGATGGCGCTTAGAAGTGAATATGGAGGGAGATAGTTGCGGGCTATCTTGCTAAGAAAGAAGATGAAGACACTTTCAAAGAACGTTGGCAAGGGTATAGTCGATGGCATGTTACAAAAGGCCACAATTGAAATGCAGCAATAATAAAAACATGATTTTTTATTCAAATGGAAATTTCGATCAACAAGTTGTTAAGCGAGTACGCAGAAAATTTTGTTATTATAGTGACGCAAATATGACAGATAATTGCAATGACGAAGTCAGGGATGAAATCATCCATTCAGCTAGAATCATGAAATTTTTCACTATATCGTTTGTACATAAAACCTTCGAGATAGGGTGTTACTTCCGCGTAGCCACTCTATACTTTGTGAAAAATGCCGCTGATTCACTATGTCATATTCTCTGAAGGCGGTGCGGACCGCATTGATGCAATAGAAATTAAATGCTTGAAAGAGCCATAAAGTCATTGGATTTTATTTCGCTTTTGAAAAGGTAAACAAATCAATTGATACTATTTTCGTTGATACTATTAACTGTCACTGTACAATTAATTGAATAATATCTTTTTGGTTAAGTTAAACAAGTTTCGCAAAAAAAACAATAAATAAAATTCCTGCCATCGAAATTAATTCCGTATATTCACTTTGCATAAATATTTTGAAAAAATAAAAGCATACAGTTTAACCCAACCAAAGAACTTTATTTAACCGGTTAATTAGTGGCTAGAATATATAAATAATAATAATACATATATGCTAAGCACTCTTCTATCGAAAAAAAAAGACAATTTGGAGGACATCGACCAAAAACTGCTTCAGCGGTTATATATTGTGTCTTTTGCATAGAAATACATATATAAACAAAACAAGGAAGAAATGTTGTGTTCTTCAGTTTATAACTTTTATGAATGGAATTTGACTTAAATACACAGCTTCAACAATTATGAATTGATCTTTATTTAATGTTTTACTTTCAAACTGAAGGGGATATAGACTGCCAGACAATGTCCATTTGGCATGTAGATATAGCAGAGATATAGCTTTTGTTTGCTATAAATTCTATTCTTTTCCTTCTCATGCTTACACACTTGGCAAAGTTTATATATCAATATTAATGAAAGATTGTATTTGAGGGTGTATAGTGACTGAAAATAAAAATTGTTTCATTTGAATTTTAGTTAACTAAAAATATCAAAAATTGGAGTTAATGAAATTTAAAGAACTCTTAAGGGGGTTTTAAATCTGTCTCTTCTTAACTTCACAATTGAAATCGCTAACACAAGTAGAATGAAAAATTAATAGTGTTATCAGGAAAAAATCGGTTATATGGTAGTCTTCTGATTTTCATGCATTTTAGTGTCAATATTTATTTAAATTTATTTTCATGCACTTGGTGCTTTATTGAAACATTTCTGACCCAGAGACACATATCTAAGAAGATCGGTTATGTGGTTGATTACATGATATAGTCGACCAATCTAGCAAGTTCCGACAAATATTTCTTTCCCTGATGATTTTTTGTGAGAAGCGACGCCCATAAATGGTGCAGACGGTGGCTAGCTCTTAAGGCTTGGACTTAGCACACCCAGATTCCAAATGTCTGGTATTCGCCTATATTTTACATAAATGCTTCTTATTTTTTTTTTTGCTCTTCTCCATAATTGAGTACCTCAGTCGGTAAGTAATTAGCTTCGGCTGGTTTTTTATTCGTTAAGCGAGCAATCCTTATTCAAACTTCGTCATAGTCAGGTAATTTGCCGACAATATCTCCGCGTGTTACACGTTCATTGCCATTGAGCATGCCGGAAAAGCTTTCCCTCCATAAACTCTATATGACCTGGACATCGATCACCAGATTACCCCCTTGATGTAGGAATCAGTATGTTGCGGTCTGCAAGCTTTTCAAATTGTTGTATTTATAAATACATTTGGACTTTTCCCGCATAAAATGCATCTTACTTACGGTATGTATCAATAGATGGCGTTGGAAAAGACGGCGAGAGCTGACGGCCTACCGGCAGAACTATTCAAACATAACGGTGAAGAGCTGACAGGGTCCATGCAACAGCTACTTTGCAGAATATGGTCGGACGAAAGCATGCCCGACGATTGGAATTTAAGTGGGCTCTACCCAATCCATAAAAAAGGGGACTCCACAGTCTGAGCCAATTACCGTGGGATAAGCCTTTTTAATATCGCCTTCCGAGCGTATTGTGTGAAAGACTGAAGCCCACCGTCAACAAACTGCTTGGACCTTATCAGTGAAGTCTCAACCATTGGCCAGACATTCACCAAGCGCCAGATATTGGAAAAAATCCATGAAAAGAGGATCGACACCCACGCTATGTCGAAATTGGGTATCCCCGCCAAACTTACATGGCTGTGTAAACTGGCAATAGACAATACTAGAAACGCAGTCGGAATTGGGAAAACAATAAACAATCATCGCATTCACGACTTGGCTCCTGTTTCACTGTTCACAGTCATGACTTTGAAGTCGTAGATAATTTCGTCTATCTAGGAACCAGCATCAACACCAATATAACGTCAGCCTTTAAATCCAGCGCAGAATCACTCTTGCCAACAGTTGCCACTCTAGACTGAGTAGGCAATTGAAGAGTAAGGTCCTCTCTCAGCGAACAAAGACCAAACTCTATTCACGGTTCCCGTCCTATTACATGGCGCGGATGCATGAACGATGACAACATCTGACGAATCGGCGTTGAGAGTTTTCGAGGGAAAGGTTTTGCGTAAGATTTATGGTCTTTTGCGCATTGTCAACGGCGAATACCGTAGACGATGGAACGATGAGCTGTACGAGTTATACGGCGACATTGACATAGTTCAGAGAATGAAGAAACAGCGGCTAGGTTGGCTATATTGTTCGGATGAATACGAATACTCCAGCTCTGAAAGTTTTCGTAGCAGTACCCGCCGGTGGAAGTATAGGAAGAGGAAGACCTCCACACCGTTTGAACGACCAGATAGAGAAGGAACTGGCTGCACTTGGTATTTCCAATTGACGCCAAACAGCAAAAAGAAGAAAGGGATGGCGCAATGTTGTTAAATTGGCTATAACCGCGTAAGTGGTGTATACGCCAGCAAAGTAAGTAAGTATACTAGGCAATTTAACGATAACATTTCTATTGCTTCCAGGGAACGTTTTTTATGTTCGCAGAATTTTTTTCTTTTCCAGTATATTGACTAGCAAAACGGATAAATTTTTCAGAGCTTGCAATTAATTTATTTATTCCTTCATAAAAAATTTTTGTCTTTATTTTCAAAATACTCCGAAACTGACACCTTGACTTCGTCATCGTTGATAAGTGTTTTATCCCTCAGCCCTTTTTTCACATTTGAATACAGGTAATAGTCAGTCGAAGCCGGTCTGGGCTGCAAGGTAGGTGATCCAAAATATTGAAAAGGTTTCTAAAATTCATTCCCAGCCATAAGGGGTAAGTTTTATATCTTTCAACGTTTCTCAAAAGAAGAACTTAACTTGCTTGACAATCCTACTGACTATATGTTAGCTATGCATAATATTGTATGAGCTGGTTGAGCTTAATAAAATAATAATAATAATAATAATAACAATAATAATAATAATAATATTAATAATTAATAATAATAACACTGCTGAAATATTCTCACTCACCTTTCCATTGCGAATCAGTTTGGCCAAATCGACAGCGGGTATTTCCAGCAGATGACTCCGTATGGGCGGCAGTTTCTTCCGATTCACTTTGATGTTCGTGAAACGACTGTAGGGTACAACAAACCAACTGAAGACGATCATGGCCGACCGCAGAAAGCGCCGCATGATGTACCCCATGATCCTGGAACAAAGTAGCACAGCAATTTTGGCGATTTTATGCTAACACGTTTCACACAAAAATATTAAAAACAACAACAATAACTTATTGTATTAACGTATATAGGTCACAATGATCACGCACATGCACACAGTCAATATAAGTGTGTGAGTGTGTGTGTGTATGAGTGCGTGTGCGGTCTTGAGTGGGCTAGTTGATGTTTTTATGTTTATTTGCGTTTCCTTAACTTGTTTTTACTCAACTATTTTGTTGCTAAATTTTTAATTTCGTTTGTGCTTTTTGCAATTTACTTTTCGTTAAATATTTTTATGAGATTTTTGTTTCTTAATTTTTTTCGGTTTTGTTTTTCTTTATTTTTTTTTTTGATTTTGGCAAGTTTTCGTTTTCGTGTACGTTTTTGCTTATGTTTATAACGGGTTTTCCATTTTATTGCAGTCGGTTGCAATTGCAAAACCAGTACCAAAGCATGCTCATGCTCACGGCTAGTATTTTAGACATACATATGTATACTTATGTATGTATTTGGGCCTAGAAATGTATTCTTGTAAGTAAGTTTGAATTCGGCACTCAAAACCGTATACGATAGTTTAGAAGCACTAACACCACTAACTAACTACACAACAACAACTGGGATTTCATATGGAAAACAACAACAGCAACGGAGTTCAAATATTGAAAATTTCGGAGCACAGGTGTTTTTGAGTCAAGAGGCTTGGCAGCGGCAACAGCGGTTCGGAGTTACTTGCAATCTTTGTATGTGCTTAATTGCTCACAAGACGACAGCAACAACAACAATAATAATGTAGTCGACAAACACGATAGCGAAGAATTGTGCAACATGCTATGCGCACACTCATACATAAATGTACGTAAAGCCTTTTTTTTTTGGCTGGCGGGCAGGTGTACACTAGTATAAACGTAGAATTCTTTGTATGTGTGTATATTTTTCTTCACTGCAATTGCTTGGTATTACTTGAATTTGTTGTTATTGCTGTTTACATTAATATTTTGAACATTTTCCAATTTTTTTCTTGATTTGTTTTGTAAACTTTTATTGCGCAATCGTCAAATTAGCGGCATGCACGAAGTTCCTTGACGCGTTCGGTCGCTGGCATTCTTTTGCCTTTACTTATGTGTTTGAATGTGTGTCTATTATGTTGTAAGGGGAGTGGCAGTGGCAGTGACAACTGCTGATGAACTCGCTCGATGCAAAATTAATGGAAATTTACTTGGTAGCGAGTTCGCATTTTTTGGTGTTGTCTTTGAAAAGGAATTTTAATTTTGTCTATTCATGTGATTCAATGATATGAATGAGTTTTTATTAGAATTTTTAAATCTTTGTTTTTGTACATATTTAATTTTTAAACGTATTCACCAGATTTTAATTTGATGTTTTTTATTTATTAAATTTTTCTTAAATGTTGTTTTTATTGGTAAACGTTTTTTACAATTTTTTCTATAATAAAAAATAAATTTCAATTTTTTTATTTTATTTTCATTTACCAAATTTTACTCTGATGTTTTTTATTTATACATTTCTTTAGGTGCTTATTGTACTGGTAAATGTTTCTTTTTTCTAATTTTTTCTATAATTTATGTCGTAATATTTAAAAAAAAAGATAATTAAAAATTTTAATTACTTTATTTTATTTTTATACACCAGATTTTACTTTGAAGTTTGTTATTTATATATTTCTTTAAATGTTGTTTGTATTGGTAAATGTTGTTTTTTATATTTTTTTCAGCTGCTTCATCAACCATTTGCAAAATACTTAATCAATTATTGGTATTTTTAAAATATCTTTTGTGTTTTCATATTTTTTTTTAATAATATTTCTTTTTTTGAAATTCATTCACAATTCCATATTTTTTATACTCTTTAAGCTGCACAAGAAAAATGTTCAGCACATTCCCGCCCCAAATTGTGACACACACACAGGCAACTCACATTTATGAAAACTTGTTTGGTCTGTAATTTTGTAATTTTGTAATTTTGTAATATTGTATACACATATGTATGATTGACTTGGATAGCAGAGCGAAACGCAGGATTTGATTTTTTATATTTATATTATTTTCCTCTTTAGTTAAATCGATTTTTCCGCGCTCATATTAATTCTTTTTCACTCTTACTTGCATATTTTACACATAAAAAAAATATATGTATATATGTATGTATTTGAGGACATGTAGAAACCATTAAATAGTAGTTTTTCACTTTTTCACGATTTGTTTATATTGCGCATGCGCAACAACTCTGTCTAACAGCGTGTTACAGCACCGAGTTCGCTGCATAAGTCTTCAGTTTTTGATTTGGTTTTTCTTACGTTTTCGTTAATACTTATATAAACAAATTTTCGTTTTCTTCTCTGTATATCTCATATTCTTTACGCACAAATCATGCAACGTTTCGCATGAAAAGAAACATTCACACTGACACGCAGAGTTATAATTTATTTCTTTTTTTCTTGATTTACTTGTAACTTTTAACATTCGTTGTTTCTCTGTTCTTTGAATTTTTCATTTTCACTTTAATGCGTTGCGCGAATTCACACACCCATAATGCTCGAAATGCGCTGAGCAAATAAATTCTGCATTAGCTTGACAATATCATTTAAGCCCAACTCTCTCCCTGAAACGAGCAGCCACGAAACACACACACACATACACACTAAGTAAGCCGGCGACTGTGCAACGACGTCGCGACGTTCAGACCACTGTGGGGCCATGACTTGTTTGTGCTAGCAAAGCGAAGAGTATTTGTGCTTTTTATTAGCTGAGTACGTTACAACTAAAGAATTGAGGAGACCTCTAGAGTGTAATATGTGTCTTAAAATATTATAGCGCTGCGTGGAAAAGAATACAAAATCTTCCAAGTATCTCTTAGGCCATACTCTACTTATGTCTCGCATAACTGCAGCTATCGTATACTGCAGCCGCAAGCATTGGCTTGACTTTAAGCCACACTCAGTGCTCCACATTCTCCGACAGCGTGCAAAAAGAGTTCAGTTCATTGCCTGCAACTCGCTGAGCTTGTCTCTCTTTGATGAGCTTTTCTCTCTCTCTCTCGCTTGCTTTAATAAAAGAACGATGGGCGATGGGTGTTATCGTTTAGTCAACTCCGGCGTAGCGTGCATTTCTTGGCGGCCTGCTTTCATCAAAACAGCAGCTAATAAAAGAAGTTGTGATTTATGATAATTAAAAAGTAATGCATTCTGCGTTGTTGCCTTTTTTGCTGTTCAGTTCTAGTTTTCTTGGAAAAATATTTACCAAGCCATTCATATATTGCAGGCAATATCCTCTCACATATAGAGAATATAAATGTATAAAAATATATTTTCTTATCTAGAAATTAAATAAAATACAAAACCATTTCCTCGTTCGCAGCTAATAAAAAGTACTTAATTGCTAGCGGGTAGTAGAATTGATGTTTGCGTTAACACGTTAAAAACAGTTAACTCCATATGTCAAATTTTGCAGCAAATCAGTTTATTTTTATTTAATTTTTTCATATTACCCTTGGACCTGAGGTTAAGTTAGGTTGAGCTGGCTGACCCACGATAATACATAAATACTATGGGCACATTACATGCAATCAAGCTGCACTGCTCTACTTCTATTGTGTTCTCAAGTGTGGAGAACAGAGCTGTTTTTTCGCGAGGTAGTAATTCTGGCTCTTAGGCCATTGCCGATTAAAGATCCTGTAGGCTTTCTGCGCCAACTAAGCCAAGCCTTTATTTGCCGAATTCCGCGCACTCACGGATTACATGCTCCACAGTCTCGACGCATTCTTTGTATTTCCTAAATTTGTTGTCCCCAGTCAGACCTATATTAAAAGCATGCGATGCCAAAAGAAAATGCCATGTTAATAGTTCTATCAGCAGCCTGGAGTCCGGTCTCTTTACAGATAACACAAATTTTGTGAGTTTTGTGTTATATGTTTTACACATAGTTTTCGCTCGTTTCCAGAGTCTATACGCCTGACGAAGTAGTATTTTTTTATTGTCTCTACTTCACTTCCTTGAATGGATTTTGGGGGTTCGTTGCTGCGTGCTTTTCTAAATAGACACCCTCCTTAGAGAGCTCGTCAGTTATTATGTTACTTTCAACGCCCGTGTGGCCTTGCAACCAGTTAATATACACTCTTCTGTTTTCAGACAGCACTTGAATCGCTCCTTTACATAATTCGACCAAAGCTGACTTCGTATTTTATGGAATTTGGTCCTTTATAGCCACTTGATTATTACCATAGATGTTTAAAACTTTGAACAGTCTATATCAGTCTCTGAGCAAGAGCGTTAGCTGGCTATAAATTATATTAGAAGGATACTTTTATTCAATATTTGGAGTGATTTGAGAGAAGTTTGGGAATGGTGGTAACGAATCTCAGTAAATCAAAAGACCATAGACCAAAACATCTGGCATCATTTCTGCTTAAAGTAGCAATGCGATTGTTTGATATTCATAGCAGAGATACCGCCTCTTGAATAACCCGTACACGTACAAGAAATTTAGACCAACAGTGGTATCGTAAATCGAGCAATTCATCTCGGTTAAAGCTTATAACTGAATAGCATTATAGGATATTGGTGGTGTCTTCAATAATATAGCGCCGACTGTAGTTATCTCTACCCTGCGTATACCCTCGGGAAATTGCTTGACGGTAGAGTGGTACATCTGCTTTTAGAAATGTCCTCAGGGCAACCCCTTAACGTGGTATTCTCTCCACCTCTTCCATTAGTAATCGCATGGAGAGGGATGCAGAGTCATATCATATAAGACTCCATAGTTACCAACTCCAGTACTCTCAGGCACAAGGTTGGATAAGAAACTAAGGGGCACAATAAAAAGTGGAGCGAATGCGGAAAGCATATAGTGCTCTCTACACGTACAAACGAGCCATTGGGTAGTGAATTGAACGTCAACAAATCAACTGCGTTTCGTCGTTTAAAAAAGGTTGGGTGCACTTTGAAGCTCGATACATGGGTGCCACATCAGTTGAG